AAAAGAAAACTACTCCTTCTCTCTCTCTCTCTCTCTCTCTCTTCCTTGATCGCACATATTTTTTTTCCACAAATATATTTGTAAAAGAAATCCAAAAATATCTCGCGAGTATCGACGAAATTGGATTCGATTTGCCGATACAGTGCGTAAATTCACGCGCGAACAAACCTCATGGAGTACAATATATCGCCATCCTGGGAGATCCTTAGCAATTTGTTCGGCACAGTGATCGTGTGCACGTAACTATGTTTGCCATTGTAGAAGTAAGTATCGGGACGCCAAATCCTTTCGAGCATTTTAATGCTGAGGCTGAGGGACTTAATCGGACCCAGGAAGCTTAAACGCGAGTCGCGCCACGATTGCCGGAAATAACAGTCCATCGAGTAATCCTGATAGAAGGATTTTTAAATGAGATTATATCAGGAGACTAGTTTCCAAATAGATTTGAAAGCAAGCCCGATCTACGTACAATAAACAACCGATTACTATTACACTAAACAGAGTAAAAGTTAAATTCAAATGGATATTCTCAAATGTTAGCAAGAATATTATAATCTTCATATAGAAAGAGAAAAAGAAGATTTTTAATCTTGACTTGAGTGCAAAAGTAAAATACTTGCATCAATATGAATTCAATCAAGTCAAAACTAAGATTTTTTAAGATTATAATATTCTTGCTTATATGAGAATATCTATCTTGATTTAAAATTAATTTTTTTTTGTATATTCAGTTTTTAAATTACTGCTACATTATATAATAAGTATAACATATCTTAGATATGGCATTACATTTAAAATATGAGAGTAACGTTATATCAAAGATATATTTCAAATTGATTATTTCAAAAAAGAAATGTTAAATTAATAAGATCAACTAGCGATTATTGTCCCTGCGATAAGTACAGTAGTGCTTCACACATTTTAAAATAATGACAAATTGATTTAGTACATACTTAGAATATTTTATATGGCGCTGCAAAAATAAAAAAGGAAGAAAAAGGTAGATTTATTGCCGCACTTTCCTTACTGAGAAGTTTCGAGTCTCACCATGTCGAGCTCAGACACTGGACCCATACTTCTAATTAGGATATTGGTTTTGACCACAGTGGGCACTCCTAAAAAAAAAGTACGAAATAAATATATTAAAATTCCGTGATTTATGAAATGTCGATATCAGCATCCCGGGAAGAGTTTGAAATATAGCTTTGTAAAACAGAGAAATTGGTACGATGAAAAATGGTGGTAAAATTTGTTCAAGATAATTAGAATATACGCTTAAACATCTGTAATTTTTTAATTTAATACGCAACAAACTCCGTTGCCATTAATTCGGCATTGTAGCCTGAGGTCTCAGTTATCGACCAATTAAAACGGTTGGACCACCTTCCTCAGCTCTTCGGAATCCAATTATATGCGATATTATTTTCCGCCATATGATGCCGCGATTAGCACAAGTATAGGACATAATGCATGATGAAATAATTTCAATACACCAGCACAAAGTGACCGCAGTATAATACATATATCTTGTATTCATAAAATTAATATGGATATTACATCCATACGCTTATTGCATTTACATATGCTGTTTTTACGTTAATTCAGCTCTTGTTTATAAAAATAAAACTTTTCTAAAATAATTATTAAATAGTTAAAGTTTTTGTGTGTTTCGCGTAACTTTCCAAATTTGTCGTGTGTAATTTTTTCAATCTAAACTTATAAAAATACAATAGAGTATGCGCTTTTAATAATAAATTACTAAATATATGTTATATATACGTGTAAAATTAAAAGCAAAAATTAGAACAAACATAATTATATAAATTTACAGAGAAGAATTCTCCTTACTCTTACATGTTGTGTATATAATGATAATATATACATTTCAGAAAGAAATTTTCCACAGACGATCAAAGTAATATGACATCGTTTAATCTAGCTATTTATTTTTCACGAGTTTCCGAATTAATTGAAAATTTATCAAGTCGCAGATTGTGTTTGTGAAAGCAATTCACTCTTATTTTTCTTACCTTTACCGTGTGTGGGCAGCTGACTGTTTTCGTAATTCATCAGTAGATTCTCGAGAACCATAGTGATGTTCTTCGAAACTATGTCATTTACTGTAGCTCTGGATATCCTACTGCCGATCGCCAACGCCGACTCCAGCGATTCTGATGATGATGATGATGATGATGATGATGACGATGATTCGAGACCCGATGCCGCTTTGCTTTCGAATGTATAATAATGATACTTGCAGAGAACGAGTGGCACGAGAATGACAAAACTACGCATAGAACAGAGAAAGTGTACTTATTATTGCACTGACAAATTCCGACGAGTTGATTGCGCAATATTCTGTTTGCGGAAAATCAGTTTCCTTCAAAATCTAAAATTCAGAATTTCTTACGAAGATTTAATTTAACTTCTGTTTTAAGAGAGTGAATGTTTTGTTGCGGAACTCTTGAACTTCTCGACAGTGAATATCTCGCTAACTAATTATAAAGTTACACTTATGCATAGTTCGATAAGACAGTGAAATGAAGTGGATTCTTGCTGAGTTATCTAATACGACAATAATTATAATTTTACAGCTTCGAGAGCGCGACGAATTTGTGGAGGACTAAGAACAAGAGACTTCGACGACACCGAATGTGGCATTCATCGACTTGCAGTCGGCGTCCAAATTATTAACAAATATAACATTCTTTACAATTTTTATTTTACAATATTAAGAGCAGTCGATAAGATAAACGATCTAAATCGTGCGTTATTTAGTTACAAATAGAAGGCTGAAATAGAATTTAAATCTAATTTCTCTGTTTGAAACTATTACCATTTGTACGTAATTTAATCTTAAATAATATTCTATAAAAATTAAAAATTGAAGCAAAATACATATTTTTTATTGCTCGTAAAATAAGTTGCTTGTTGTTTATGCCAGAATGTAATAGCATTGTTAATTATATCCAAATCGCAAATAAATTGAAAAATAATTTAAATAAAACTGTAACGAAATATGTAACAATATACAATCTCTTTTTGTTATAATTAAAAGCTATAACAAATACAAAGTTGTAACAAATTAAAATGTAATAATTTAAATAGTCGAATAGAGTTAGAAAGACTAATAATAATAATAAAAATTATAAATAGAACGCAATACATTTTAGTGACTGTCGAATTATATTCAATATTATGAATGGACTCTGTTCAAATGTCGATAATTGAAATTCATCAAGTATTTAACGAACATAAGTGCACTTTATGGATATGTGAATGGGATTGATCACCGTAGATGTTCAATTTGATTTTAAAGTTGATATTCTATCCTATCAAGAGAAACGCATTTCAATCCATATCGATTACTCGCCTTTTAAGCCTAAAGAGAATCAATTAAAGTACCACCAGTAGATCCTTTGGTTTCAAATTTTTACAATGCTTTCGTTGTAAAAGAACCATTGCTTTACATAATTGACACTATGCCATATTCCGTGACAAATTTAATTAATATTTGTTATAATGTTATGAATCTTTAAACATTACCTAATGACAATAATGTATTTATATCCATATTCATTTCTACTTATTTGTGATATATATATATATATATATATATATATATTAATTTAATTATTTT